ATCTTGTGAGGGTTCATTTGCATATTACCTCTTTATTATATAGAACTAGAAGGCCTGTGCACAAAAAATTGTCCACTGGCAGGGAAGGAGGGTCCCTCAGCCCAATCTGTGCCCTCTCATGGATCACGCTGCCGCTCGCCCTGCCCGCCCCGCCCACCCCGCCCAAGACAGGGCAGGCCAGGATCTCGTCTTGGGCGGTGCAGCAGGATCTGCCTGCAGAATGCAAATTAGCCGCCATCTTTGTTGGCGGTTAATTTGCATATCTTGCTGATTAGCCAATGGGAGACGTATTGGAGGTACGGTTAATTTCAATCTTTGTCTATTATTAGATAGGATTGTTAAGGTTCATAACATCTACATTCTGTTTTTTAATCATAATTTCTATTTGTTTTAGTCTTAGTCATACTATAATTGACTTTTTTACGTAATGATAAACAATGAATATATTCTCATGTGATTCACCTACAATATTGATTTTGACAGCTGCATATTTGTTTTTTGTAATATGTTTTTAATTGATTTTAGTGAGAGGAAGGGAGAGGGAGAGAGTGTTAGAAAATCAATGATGAGAGAGAATCATTGATCACCTGCCTCCTGTATGCCCCCTACTGGAGATCGAGCCTGAAACCCAGGCATGTGCCCTGACCGGGAGTTGAACTGTGACCTCCTTTTTCATGGGTCATCGCTCAAACACTGACCCACACCAGCTGGACTGCATAATATTTCTATATCAGTAAGTGTACCATTGTTTACTTAGCCAATGCCCTATTATTAAACATTTATGTTGTATCGAATGTCCACTAGTATGAATAGTATAAACCAGGCTAGCCTCTTTGAAACTTATATATTTCTAACTCCTAGAGAGGGGTGTCAAACTTTACTGAACATTCAAATCTCTGAGGATCTGCTTAAAATGCAGATTCTGGTTCTGTAGGTCTAGCCAGGGCCTAAGATTCTGCATTTCAAACAAACTCCCAGGTGCTGCTGCTGCTGCTGGTCTTTGGGACATTTTGAGTAGCAAGGTCTTGGAATATATTTTGTGTCTGTGGAATTTTGCTTAAATGAAAAAATGCTAGAAAACATTGGAATAGTGGTTCTCATTGTGTTTTGTGACAAACTTTAAGGCCTGGGCCTCCTAGGATTTGTTCCCTCCCTCCATTCAGGTCTCTCACATGTCAAAGTAGCAAACCTATTGAATGTTCATTTTGCAAGGTTACGCTTATCTTGTCAATCTCCCGACTGGCCTGGGCCTCCTGTGCATGTGTCCAGGGAGCCGATCAGATGTGCACATTGCTGTCACCTGGGGGGAAAGGCTGAGAACCAATGAGCAAATGAAGCAGAGGTCAGAGAGGTTCCCTGGAGTGAGTTGGTGCAGAGAAGCCTTTGAACTCCAAGTTGTAAGTGATATCTGCACTCCTAACCCTCGGAGGTGTGTGGTTCATTTGGTGGGCGGTTGGTGGTTTAGGTGGCTTTATTCTACCAGGCCCTACGTGACCTGGCCCTGCCTATCCTCCCAGTTCCGTTTGTCTCCTTCACCATCATCCTACACAGTAGTTTGGCAAACTTTTGTAAAGGACCAAACAATAAATAGCTTTGTTGACCATACTGTCTCTGTCACACTAGTCAATGTTGCCATTGTGAACAAATGGGTGTGCCAATAAAACTTTATTTATAAAACAAGGCAGGGGTAGGAGGGCATAGTTTGCTGACCCCTGCTCTACACAGCAAATAAGCTTCTGCTTTAGGGTTTTCCCACCTCCCCTAGATGACCCTAGGATTTGTTCCCTCCCTCCATTCAGGTCTCTCAGATGTCAATCACCTGGCAGGCCCCCTGACCACCCAGTCTACAACAGCATCCCTCCCTCAGATCTCCAGGTCATTTTTGTCACTTCCCTATGGTACATATTTCATCTAGGTGCTTTACGAATAATATTGATTATATTTTGATAATTCCTAGAGAAAAGCATATATGTTTATAGGCAGAGTAGTTTTTATGCATGTAGAAGTTTATTTACAGTGGAACATCTCTGTGGACAAAAATAGATTTGTTATACAGAGTCTGTTGTAATCATATTCCTTCTAATGACTTTCCCCCTGAGCCTGGCAGTACCAAATGTATTATATGGTAAATATAGTTTGATATGAAAGAATTGCTTTGTTCTAGAGCCTCATCAATAATAATAAAAAAAATGTCTTGAGCTATTCTGGCTCTTCTTATGGATTATACCAGGTTCTTCCCCTACATGTAATTTGCAAGATTAATGCAGCGGTTCTCAACCTGTGGGTCGCGACCCCTTTGGGGGTCGAACGACCCTTTCACATGGGTCGCCTAAGACCATATCAGATATTTACATTATGATTCATAACAGTAGCAAAATTACAGTTATGAAGTAGCAACGAAAATAATTTTATGGTTGGGGGTCACCACAACATGAGGAACTGTATTAAAGGGTCGCGACATTAGGAAGGTTGAGAACCACTGTATTAATGGAAAGAGAAGAATTTTTTCTATACAATTTGCACATAGCCCCAAAACAGAGGAGGCCTTGTGGCCTAACGAGAGGCTGGCCACTGCGGGTGAGTAGGGGATCTGGGGAGACATTTCCTGAGGAAAGATGGCCAACAGGAATGCCTGTTAGCTTTGGAGGGTCCAGTCCCAAGGAGGAGAGAGAGGTCGGGTTCTGCAGAGTCCACCAGGGTGCCGGCAACCTCGCTGCTGCGGCCTCCGGACATCTCCACCAGTGACCACTGTGAGTGAGCCGAGGGAAGTCTCCCCTGTGGGCAGCTGAGGCAGATGTGAGCCCCACGTGCCATTATGGAGATGACTCCAAATCGGGGGCATTCCTGGGTTCGGGTGGCTGGGCATACTCCCAGAGGGTCTGCACCGTGGATGCGGAACATCTCAAGAACTGTGGAGTTCTAACGTGAGGAGGACACCAAGACTCACCCGGTCAAGGAGCCGAGAGACTAAGGGCCCTCCGGTAGGTGAGGGGCTGTGTCTGAGCAGCAGGCAGCGCTCCAGCCGGGAGGATGCGAAGGAGCCGTCCTTGGCGCCACGTGTGGCATCTTACCTGAACGAGCAGCCCCATCTGCTTTGGTTGGCAGCCTTCATGACCTTTACCAATTGCTAAAAGAAGGTGCTACTGTGAAAGTTCTTGATTGCTAAGAATATTCCAACACAGTATAATTCTTAACGTAACACGATTCTTCTATATGAGTGTGCATAAATGCCTTTTCATCTGTTTTAACTGTACCTTTCCAGAGGACGGGGTTGGAAGGACATTGGTTTAGCTTAACCGGAGTGAGATGGCTTTACTTTGCTGCGCCTCCTGCATTTTGGGTCTCTCGTCTTCACTTCCCATGCCAGGATTTGAAAAATGAAAGCTGGAGGGTGGTTTCATTATAAAGTGGCGTCTAATTGGTGGGTACTTACGGGGTTCAATACATTCAGTTTTCTAGGACTTTAGAAGGTTCTGAAACTATCTGGAAGGCAAAATATATGGTGATAAACACCTGTCTTTTTAAGCCAGAAATGTACATAAATGATTATAGATTGTTGAAGCATGGACCTAAACGGTAAAGTAACTGTGGCCTTTTTGTTGTAGCTATTACATTTGTATCATTATGTTCCCAAGTCCTGAACTGTGTTTCTAATTCCACCTTAGTCACTGGAGCTAAAAAGTCTTCTCTAACTATTATTTACAGTTTCAAGTCCTTGCTCTTTTACCTTGGGGATCTGGAAAGTTAAAAAATAAATTGCTTGCCAGTGCCCTCCAGCCCACTTGAGCCCCAAAGCAATCCGTCTCTTGGCATGGGACGCTCAGTGTTTATAATTCTCAGCTATTGATTTTGTTCTTAGAGGTTGTAACACGGATAAATTCTGAGTCTGCTGGTTCTGCACGGAGAGGAGCCGCAGTAATTCATTCTAACACTGGTGCCCTGGTCAGTGGGGAAAATTTTTAATTGTTGGATTTACTCTAGACTGTGGGTCTTTTTCTCTTTCTTAAGTCGTTCTGTTAGTTAAAATGAGCCTTCGCACCAGAGAAAGTAATCTATCACAGTTTGGGATTAGAGAACTCTGCAGGGAAACAGCTCGATTTATGGAAGAAAGTTAACGCCGCCGACCAGACCTGGTTCTCCTTGGCTCCCTCCCACTGTCCACCTGTGATCCTCCTCCTTCCCACCTCTGCGTTCCCGCCCCTCTTATCCTATAGCTCTTTTTCACATTCAAACAGTCTGCTGCTTTCCTTTATTTACTTGTCTTATATTCTGGCCTCTTCATCATCTCTTTACACCTACCTGCCCACCTTTGGGGACACAATTCCTACTCCTTCCTGTCCCAGTGTTGGATCTACTTTTGCACCTTGTCAAGCTCTCTGGCTACATCTGTCACCCCTTCCAGTTTGTATTGCCTGGGCTTCCCCGCTGTCTCCGATAAGGGAGACCCACTGCTCTCAGTCTTTCCCTTTATCATGGGGGACGGGGGGAGAGGGAAGGAGGAGAGAGATTGGAAGACAGTGAACTGCGTGTGCTTCTTTTTTATTTTTTAAATATATTTTATTGATTTCAGAGAGGAAGGGAGAGGGAGAGAGAGATAGAAACATCAATGATGAAAGAGAATCATCGATTGGCTGCCTCCTGCATGCCCCCCCCTGCCCCCCACCCAGGGATCAAGCCCACAACCCAGGCATGTGCCCTTGGCCAGAATCGAACCTGGGACCCTTCAGTCTGCAGGCTGACGCTCTATCTATTGAGCCAAATCAGCTAGGGCATGCATGTGCTTCTGGCATTGGCTTTTGAGAGGAGAGTGAGGGAAAATTTGGGGAGGGAGGTGATTCCCACCCCTGGGAATGCCGACACAGATGGCATATGAGTGAGACTGTCACAGATTCTGAGTGGAACTCAGTCACCCCCTCCTGTGGGGCATCATCGCTGAATACAGCTTTATATTGCAGGTGAACAGGGTGAGTCTGGAGACCAAGAATCCTCATCTGTTACCCCCATGGCTGAGCCTCTGAAGGGCAGGGCAGGGCAGCTCCCCTCGCCCTTTCCTCAGCCTCGGGTTACGCCCTGTTAAGCCAGAGTGCACCCTCTTTTCCCGAGGTTGCAGCTACCTGACTTTCAGGGTCTTACCAATGTGGTCATTACAGCTGAGACTCAAACAACATGGGGGTTAGAGGCACCGAATCCTCCCTCACCCCCATTGAAAACCCACGTGCAATTTGACTCCCCCAAACCTTCCCTATAGCTGTCCCTCGGTATCTGCCGGGGGGGGGGGGTGGCTCCAGCACCCATGAATGCTCAGCCCCTCGTATGAAATGATGTAGAGCAATGATACAGTCGGCGCTTGGCCTCTGTAGACTTGCAATTCCCTCTCGTAGGAGAGCGCATTCTCCCTAATTCCTCCACCATTGATTGGTTCCCACCCTGGGTTGAAAATACTGGTTTTGATTTGCGGTTGGTTGAATCCACAGATGAATTAGAAATGCAGGGATAGGGAGGGGTGCTGTGTATTCTGTGAAAAAGCTCTGAGCACCAGTGGCCCCACGCAGTTCAAACCTGCGTTTCTCAAGGGCCAGCTGCATTGGTTTGGGCAGGTGTTTTCCGGGGATGGGAAGGGGAAACAGTTTGAGCTCTAGCCTGTCCTGCTGAGTGTCAGGGCGAGATGCAGAGAGGTGACAATAGCAACAGTGTGGGGGTGGGGGTTGGGGGGGGGATGAAGTTGAAAGCAAGGTTGGTGCAGAAACTCCAAAATGCAAATGTTCTGTCTGCCAGCAGGAGCTGGCTACATTTGTAGTTTGCTCTCAGAGTAAGAATTAAATCTGTTTGAAAGGAACAATGGCCACAGCTTGTCTAAAAAGAAGGCGTGTTTAAGGAGACCTTCAGAGAAGTACATTCATTTTCTAACGGTAACTGAATGGTGGAGGAATTAGGGAGAATGGGCTCTGCTGTGAGAGGGAATTGCAAATCTGGAGGGCGAGCAAAGATTTAAGTTGGTGAAAAGTTCATTTTTCTGAAGATGAATCTCTAACCAGCAGCTCCATTCAAATTCTGTGTCTGCTTTGCAAACAAGGTTCCTGCTTTAATGGCTTTTTCGTTGTTGTTGTTAAAGAAATGGACTTAATGGACTGAGTTCATTTAGATGGAGGATCAAATGAATGAGTGGAATCAGAAGACATCCATTTGGCCGTCAGTCTTTGTTTAAGCCACTCGACCACCCAACTTCTCTACTGAAATGGCATCGCAGTCCCCGTATAAAGTCTGCGGCGGAGACATGAGTACGTGCTAAGTGCTTTGAAGATGAACATCACCACGCGAAAGTGAGCAAGGTTTCTTCCTGGGGCTGGAAACGGCATCTTTTGTGTTTTCCTGCTGCGCCGTGAGTCACCTCGGTTGACACTGCAGAAAATTTCCTCTCCCAACAGAAGAGCAGGACACAGTGGTGACAGCCTTTTATTGGGTTTGCCAGGCCAATTAAGAAAGAGCCGGAGCCCGTTCACATCTGGACAAGGGATTACACACCGGGCACATTTGCTACCTATGGATGCAGGTCACATTTTACATGAATCTGTACATTAAGAAATTGCATGACAATTATCTTATTGAGACATGCATGAGGAGCAACCATCCCCTCAAAGCACTGAAGACCGACAAAAAGCACTGTCCCTCCAGCAAGCTTGGCTCACCTCTCTCAGTGCATGTAAAGATCCCATCAAGCCCTCGCCCAAACCAAGGGGACGTTGAGCTTTATCTGCTTGGAAGATGTGAGTATTTTTAGTGGGAGGAGCTTAGAAGAACGGCAGGTTTGGAAGTGAAGTGTGAACCGTTGGGCAAGACCCAGCCCCGTCTGTCTGTCTGAATCTGGCCCCGACCGACCAGCCCACTGGCTCCCAGGGAAAGGAGCCAGCAAGGTGTCCCATGTCCCAGGCTTGGCAGGAGTTCTCCTCCCCACACCCAAATACCTCGTTTGTCTGTTTTCCGCCTGCCACCTGCTGGGACACAGTGATAATCAGTCATGCTAGGTTGTCGGTTGACAATTACTGAGTTTTGACAGGCCCCTTCAGGAAGATTGCACGACCCCCATGCAAGTTCGGATCCGAGCCACTGGTGGCCGCGCTCCTCTTTGCGCCCAGTGGGGAACTCGGTGCGTCACTGTCAGCCTGGTAGCACCTCCCTCCCAGCTGCACCCCTCAATTGGTCACAGCTGAGAGAGGCATTCACAGCATGGCGAGCAGGGGCCACTCCCACTGAGGGAGGAGTGTGGGGAGCTCACTGTGGGGAGGGGGCTGAGGGAGGGAGTCGTGGGGGTGGAGAGGCGGTTGGATGCATCAGAGGGAATTGCAGAGCTGCTGGATGAGGTCCTGAAAACGGGCTAAAATGACCAAGGGGAGGAGAGAAACTCCTCTCGGACAGATTCAGATGCAGGCAAAGTCCAAGAGACCTGGAGGAGTTAATGGGAAAATAATTCTTATCTGCTTCCTGCCAATCTGTAGCCATTGACAGAGCAGAAGTAATTATAGATACTGTAGACGCATGCAGCATTAAGTAAAGTGTTTCAAATTACACTGCTTAACAACGCTTCCTGGTGCGGCCCTGCTCGGCCGAGTGCGTGGAGCCAGCAGGTCACGCTGCAGGGCATGGTGCGGTCGCTTGCAGAAGTTTCTCCCTCTGTGCATGTTGCTTCCCAAGAAAACTTGCTCCAGTGAAAAGAAGAAAAAAAGACGATACTAATTTGGTTTCTGTTGAATATTTAGAATGTCATTCACATAGTTGTCTTAGCAGAGTAAGCTGCCATATTTGGAGGATTTTCATAGTTTGCCTTGTAGGAGCCAAAAGCCGGGTCAGCACTGAAGATTAGAATCAATTCAGTGGAGGGAAAATAAACCTTTGGAATAGGTTTTGCCTTCCCGGAGCACGTAGCAGGCATTAGCAATAATGGGAGCGCTGTCTGCGCATGGAGAGGAAGCATCTATCGCTCAGACTCCCACACGTCCTCGCCCGGGGTTGTGTGGTCCCATAACCTTCACAGTGGGTGGGAAGATTCTAGATTCATCATCTCCTAACTTTATGCTGCTATGTGCAGGAACACACACACACACACACACACACACACACACACACACACACACACACGAGTGTTCTTTCGTTGTGGAAGAGACGGAGGACAAGGAGATGGAAGCTGCTGAAACAGCCCACATGGATGAGGTGACCGAGCCTCGCTGGGCACGGACGTGAACTGACCTATTTGCCCTTCGTGGTGGCTGTGCCATCTTTGCCCGGCTAAAGTTGCCCAGTTTGCTGGTCTTCTCCCACTTCAGGAAGCACTGCAGAAAACAAAAGAGGGCCAGGACCTTTCCTAGGGCTCCTTCAGTCCCTTCTGTGTGTCTGCCAGTACTTCTCGAACAAGTGCAGGGGCAGCAGGAAACAGGAAGCCAGGCCATGGAAGAGCGCTGGCACTGGCTGTTTCTATGCCACTGGCTGTTTCTATGCGTATGCGTGCCTTACGCATTTCATTTCTTAATTTTAAGACAAGGATGAGTGAAGTATGGCATAGAGATAATAAAGCGCACTCTACCCTTGTCTCGGTAAAATAAATCACCACGGACATGGCACCTACATTTGCTGCTGTTTGCTCTCTAGCGGAAACCCAGATAACAGCTAAATTTTACTGAGAGCATCTGTGTAGCCATTTATACTTTTCACCTTTCCTTGCTAGAGGCCTCACTGGTCGAGAGGCAGGAGCTGGCCGGGGTCCTGGCCCAGCTCAGCCACCACCTAGCACTGTGACTTTGGGCAGGTCAGCTCTGCCAGCCTCCCTCCTCACCGCAGCTCAGGCAGGAGGGCTCTCCAAGGTCGTTCCTGCGCTCGAGTCCTGGAGAACTCCACCAGGGTGGTGCTCAGCAAGAACTGCATTGAGGCGATCGAAAATCATGCCACAACCTGTAAAGGCCTTTGAAAGGGAAGGAAACGTTGCAACATGTGGTTTGTTTCAGTTCTGTGATTTAGCTGCTCCAAAGATTGAAATGGCAAGGACAGGCTGACAGGATTGAAGCCCCTCACAAGTCGAGGGAGCTGGCCAGAGTGCTGAATCCAGACCTTGAGGGCTGCTCAGCTCCCAGCTGGTCAGCAGTAATTCCCTCAGCACAGAGGCAGGCAAGGGTGTTCTCAGCAAGCTCCAGACCCAGAGCATCAGGCATGCAAACAGCTGGTGGATTCCGGAGTCCATTGCATTCGATGGTTCCCAGGTCTGTTAGGACTGTGTTTTATTTAGGACAGTTTGGGAACAGCTTTGGAAGGAGTGCCCTGCTGTTCAAATGAATATTAATAGTGTGGGTCTTGGCGCAAAGAAAATATTTTCTTCAGTTCAGTATCTGGTAAGTATCCAAGAAGGAAAAAGTCCCTTGGTGTTAAAAGGCTTGGGATGCGAGGGCATGATGAGCCTTCTGAAATCAGGAATCGCCAGTACCAGCCGGGAAAAGAACTGTGCTTACCAAACTGCCTGAGCTTCCCAGGTGCCCCCTAACTAAACACTGTCTCCCCTCAACAACTTTTTTCTTGCAGAAAATACCAATGTGTCTCTTTCTTTGTTGCTGTGCAGTGTATCAATAGTCTCAAAATCTTCCAAAACCGAAATGCTTGCATCAGAGCTGTACCGCCCCCCCTCCCCCATCACCACCCCAGTGCTCAGCACCCGTCCCCACTCCAGAAAGAGAGCCACCGAGTGGTGCCCGCCGGGAAGGCTGCCTGACTCCAGGGAGGCGGGTCTGTCCCTGTCCCCACCATTGAGGAGGCAGTAGGCACAGTTCTTCTTTAGCCCGAGGCCCAGCTTCCCTATTAACATAGACACAACACTTCGCTGAAGCTGAGGTATAAGAAATTTTCTGCTTGACATGTTTTATGTCCCATTATTATTTTCCCTGCACGTCACATGCCTCTGGTGAGAACATGTCTGGTGCAAGGTTTTGGGGGAGGGCCCCCCCACACGCACTTAAACCAGAGAAGGAGGGAGAGATGGGCTCATACAGCAGTTCATCGGAAGCCTCTCCCTCAGCTCTCCCAGGAGGTCGGGACTCCAGAGAGGTCTGTCCTGCTGGAAACTTCTCGGCACCCGTCCACGCTGTCACCAGCCTCCCAGGGTGGCTGGCTCCCCCTTTTCTGGGAATCTACGGTGCTGCTACATGTCTGCTTTCTCATCGTGGCTGCGGCAGGAGTAATAGGTTACTGCTGCGCATGACTTATGGGATGAGACCGGAGGCAGGGCAAACATTAATCGGCTCTGAGTGTGGAGGAGTCCAATCAGTGACAACCTCCTCCCCCCGACCCCCACACCCCAACAACATCACCACCACCACCACGATTTAGTTCTTGTTTTCATCAGGTGGGAGAGACCAGAATGGCACATTTGCACATAGACTATTCACAGCAATGAAGAAAAGTGGATGGAGTCTATACAAGCTCCCCAGTGGGGGGATTTCAGAGGGAGGAAACCCAGAGCAGGGGAAGCCTGTCTCCATGGTAACAGTGGGGCCTGGCAGTTGTCCCACAAGAGGTCCCATTTCCTAAAGTTAGAGGAGGCACCCAAACTCCCATGCAAAACACAGAATCTGGTCAGAAGTCAGAGCATTTCCACAGGGTGGTGCGTGCACCCTCTTGGGCCCTGGGTCTCCGTCAGCGGCGGGTAATCGAAGTCCCTGACGTGGATGTTGTTGGAGCTCCTAGGGGAACCCAGAGGGCTCCTGAGCATCTCCAGAAGAGACTCATGCACAGGGGCGGGCTCCCCGGGAGTGGGCCTGCCCGGTTCCCTGGGCGTGGCAGGGGCCGGCACCAAAGCAACTCAGAGAGACGCCCAGGAGAAGTGGGCGGCAGCGAAGAAACCCGCAGGCATCTTCTCGACGTGACCCACAGCCATTTCTAGAAACAGCTGCTGGTCGCAGCCCCAACAAACTCTGCAAAGAGAAGCTGGTGGAAAGCTGAGGGGCAGCTGAGGGGAACCAGTGACCCGGACACGTGTACATCATCCCTGACCGAGGAGGCAGATGGGCTGGGGCCCCCACCCCGAGGCGGCTGCGGCTGCATTACCCAGCTCTCGTCTGGCTGAGGTTATGTCCGTCCGCCTCTCAGGACCACCTCCTCCGACAGCCGCAGTCCCACTAATAAGCCATTGACCTCAAGTTTGAGTCTGGGGCTGATTTGCTGCTGTCTGGGGGAACCCCAGGGGCCTGTGGCTTAACGGGAAGAGATCCTCATTTTAGCAGCAATAGCTTTTCCTCTCTTCCCGCCACAGTGATCAAATTAGCAGCTGCTTCTCCTCAGAGAAAATGTGTCCGCGTCCCGGAGGCATTGCCCATTTGCCTGTCTGATGGGTTGGGGAAGGGGCACCCTTCCCCGGCCCCGCCCGGGAGGGTCTCCCCGACCTGGGAGGGCGGGTGCTGGGGAGGGTCTCCCCCACCTGGGAGGACAGGTGCCGCAGGCTTAGCTGCAGGAGGCCTGGCAGGTGGCGGAGTACACGCTGCTCCCCACTGTGGCCCCGCTGCTCAGGCTGCTGGTGGGACACTGCAGGGGCTTCATGCTGCTGTCCCTCTGCATGTGCAGGCGCTCGAGCCGCCAGCGCTCCCACCTCTTCCGGAACTCCAGCTGGACCTTCCGTGGGAAAAGGAGGGGGACAAAAGCCATCATGCAACCCGACTGCCCACAGGATGGCCGTTATTACATTAGCAGGAAGGGAAGCATCCACTGCATTGCATTAAGAGACACAAGTCAAGGCCTTCGGGCGCCTAAATTAATATCCCAATAAAACTGTTTATTGTTGTCTCCTATTTTCCGCCTGAACTCAGGAGGGAGATGGGCTTGATGGCTTAGTCGGTCCCTTCCATCTCTAAACTCTGACTCGCCAGGCACCTTTACCATCCATCTCGGGATCACTTAGCCGAAGAGAACGGGAGGGAGAAAGGCGGGGAGACGAGGGGGAGACGAGAAGGAGAGAGAATCTTCTGACTTTTCAGCTTGGACGACAGAGGAGAGGGAAGCATGCCGCCACCCCCCCCCCCTCACGGTGCCAGCCCCGGCCCTGGCTCCCTTGGGAAAAGCCTTCTCAAGAGGCTTGGTGCTTGGGGACCACATTGTTGGGCACAGAGATATGGGCTTGTGGCCATGCCCTGGCGATCCAGGTCCCCCAGGGGCTGCTGGGACCTGCACATCCAGCCCAGGGCGCCTGGAGGGCTCCTCTGGGGACGTTCCCATAAGTGCTTCCCAGAACTTCTCCTGTGCCCCACCCTGGCACCCAGGCCTCCCCACACCGGAATGTTCGGGGCCTGATTCCTCCCTTTCCGGCCCCCGCCACCTGGATGGCCAGCTGCCAGCAGCTGGAGGAAGCAGCTCGCTGCCAATGCCCCATCCGTCCCTGCACAAACACCCCTCTTCTCCTGCTGCTGCAGGGCCGACATCTACCCAGCTGAGCCCATCAACACTGCTCACCACCCCTTAAAAGAATGTCTTCTGCACTGAGTGGAGAGGAGGTGCCAAGGGCCTGCCTGCCAGGACGGGCCAGGTGCCCCAGGCCACGCCATGGAGCCCAGGCCCGGGTGCTGAGGAAGGGGGAGTGGACACGTGTAGCCCCCGCCATGCGCCAGCTCCCTGCCCAGCAGAGTGTGTGTAGAGTGTGTGCTCACAGCTGCGACAGGGACATCTGAGACAATGGTGGCCTCTGCAGCAGCCATTAACTGGGGGTGTGAGGGGAGAGATGGTAAACTGAGGCACATCCATGGGCAGCCACCCCAGGGACTGAAGGGGTCTCTTGGACCCCAGCAGGAAACCGGACAGGACCAGGGCTCCCCAGTGTGCTGGCACCGTGCCTCTGTGCCCATCAGCCTCGGCACTTTTCCCGAACCTCTGCTGCGGTCCCTCATTACACAGCATCGGTTATTGGGAGCTACTACATGCAGCATTTTCCATGGATTATTTTAGTTAAATTTCACAGCAATCCTGTGAACAGCTCCTGGCAGAGGGCACTGAGGTGCATGGCATTTAAGTATTTCTCTGGGCCCGGCTGGCCTGGCTCGGTGGTGGAGCCAGGAGGTCACAGAGTCCCGTTAGGGCACATGCCCGGGGTTACAGGAGGCAGCCGATCAATGATTCTCTCTCATTAATGTTTCTATCTCTCTCTCCCTCTCCCTCTCTGAAATCAATAAAAAATCTATTTAAAAAATATTTCTCTGGGTCTCAGCCAGGATTTGAACTGATCGGGGCTGGCTCCAAAGCCAGTCTCCTACCCGCCGCCCCTGCCTCCCCTGACAATCTCGGCCATACTTGTTTCTGTCTCCCCTTCCCCCCCAATCAGGTGGGAGGGCCAGCACCACACCTTCCTCACCTCACTTGTCCTGAACCTGACACAGTGCCCGGCATACAGTCGGTACTCAATAAGTGTTTCTTAAAGGAGCCGAATGAATGAGTAACGAATAAGCACCTGACGTTGGGCTCCTTGTTACCGAGTTATTACGATGGAGCCACACGGACACCGACGCAAGTGTGGACCTGTTCCAGCGCTGCACCCCAAAGTTCACCCCCATCCCTGCCTCCCACAGCCTCTGTGGCTGGGCACCGAGCCAGGCTCTGGGGTTGGGGTAAAGCTCATTCACCACCATCTGCACTTGGGGAGAGAGGCAAGGCGACTGCCGGCCACACAGCCAGGCAGTGTCAGAACGGGACCAGCAAGCAGGCTCCGGAGTCAGAGAACAGGAGCCGTCACAAGTTCACCAGGGCCACCCCTCCCTGGGCCTGCTCCCCGCCCATCGGCCGCAGGTGCCGGGCAGCCATGCAGGACCAATGCCTGGGCCATCTTTTCTCTTTGGGTCACAAGCACCTGGCATTGCCATGGCAACCCTGGGCCTGGAGGACAGGCCTCGGCCCAGGAGCCACGGGTGCCTTTGTGGCCCAGTGATGGTGACAGGTCTGTCCTCATGCCGGGAGCTACAGGGCACGAGGCGTCTCCACGAGGGTGTAAAGGTGCACGGGTGGGGCCTCCTGGACCCCAAGGCAGGAGCCTGGGAGAGGTCAGCAGGGATCTGGTGATCAGGGGTCAAGTTATTTGCCAAGAGCAGAGCGGGGGTATGGAGTTAGGAGAAGTGACTGAGACAGGGTCCAGGTGAGAGGGTCCAGGTGAGACGCTCCACAGAAGTGGTGGGGAGCCTTTGCACAGGTGCGGGGGTGAGCGTGTGCTGCCAGCAGGGCTCTGGGGGAAGGGGAGAGATAAGTGGGAAGTGGGACTGGGGGATCGAGTGAGAAGTGGCAGCAAGGAGCCCTATTCTCTCCTCACAGGCCTCTGCCCCCCTGCCGAGCACACGTGGGAGGGGATACCCGCCACCCTGCCCGCCACCCTTCCCGTCCCCCAGAGCTTTGGGCCAGGCGGCACACCACCCCTCTGGCCGTGCCACCCCTGCAGGGAATGCCATCCCTCTGAGTGTCCTCTGCACCCGCCTTCCCTCCTTGCCTGGCCCACCCCACCCCAGAGTCTGGCCAGCCCTCTGAGACCTGCCCTGATGATGGGCGAGAACCTGGTTATGGGCCACCCTGTGCCTGGTGCTGCCTCCACCTCCCCAGTCCCAGCAGCCCCGACGCATGCGTAGGCTCCCTCCCACAGCCTGCGAGCTCTACCACCTTCTAGCCATCGAATGGGGGCGATTCATTCCACTTGGCGCAGACTGAATTTTCTCATCTGTAACATGGGGATAACATCTATTACACAGGATTGGATTCACTAGAACCCTTGAGCACCTTATACACAGCAAGCGCTCCGGAGGTGTCTCCCTCCCTTTTAGAGATCTGAGTCCACGCCCTGTGAGCATTACTTCCTCCTTTTTGTAGACGAGGAAACTGAGGTTCAGAGTGGGCCTGTCACTCACCCCGTGTCACACAGCTCACTAGGTGATGGGGCCTGGCCCAGAGCGGAAATCTGATGCCATTGCCCACATCCTTCATCCTTCCTGCTGCATCACATTGCTTCTTTGGGCATCTCATGGATCCCTGAAACTCCAGGGTCCCCACCGCTGCTCCCCTTGTCCCCCACGCCCAGAGCAAAAGTACAATTTGCATGAACATGCAGATTTTAAGATCTCCGAGCTCCGATCCCGGACTCAGTGACACAGAAACCACATGGAGAGCTAAGTCTTTGACGAACAGTGTCCCTGGGCCACCTGAGCTCTGGCCCATTGAGGCAAGCCCTCACCTGGAGTGACCTGGATGCAGTTACCAGAGGCCTCAGTCTCCCCCCAGACTGTGGGGAGGGGTGCCTACCTTCTCTTCCCTGCTGGGGGTCAGGCCTCTTGTGGAAACTTCCCCAGGCGGCCCTGTGCTGCCTGTGGGACTCTTATTTGTGGAAGATGTGTGTGTGTGTGTGTGTGTGTGTGTGTGTGTGTGTGTGTGTGTCGGGGGTGGGGGGAGCTGTGAGATTTGTGATCTCCACTTCGATGACTTGGGGGTGTTCCAGCTCTAGCACAAAGCTGGGTACTTTGGAGCAAGCAGCCTCCCCCAGGGACCCACAGACACAGACACCCCTCTTCCCAGGAGCCGGCCATCCTAGAGGCTGTGGTCCCATGGGGTCTCCAGGAGAGGGTGTGGGGTCAGCCAGAACCCCTCCTCCCAGCCCAGCAGCCAGAAGGCCACGGGGGAGCTCCCGTGCGGCCCGGGCTCTGGCCTGCCTACAAGAAGGACAGCTGGCTTTCTTCCAGGCAGAACTCACTGGAGTCCTGGCCCTGCCACTCTTTCCGGGCCAAACCCGGCATGTTTCTTAGTCTCTGACCTTCAGTGTTCTCAGGTGTGAACACGGGGATGTCAAACCCGAATTTTAGCAGGGCTTTTTGGGGAAGAGGCTGTGACAATGAACTGAGACAGTGATTATTAAAGCCCCAAGTCTGGGTGTGGACACGTCTATTGAGTCACCTCGTAACAGTCTCACCACCTGTTCACTCAGGGAGGTGACAGGGTGACTGGGCTTTAAGGGCTGGAATCAGGAGAAGTGACTGACTTAAGAGCAGCTGTCACAGAGAGCTACCCAATGGGGCTTAGACCCCGGCACAGTGTAGGCACAGGGCACAGAAGTGCTCCTTACCATGAGGCTGGGTCATCCCCAAACTCACAGATGGTTAGGTATGCCTGCACGTGTGTGTGCGTGTGCGTGTGTGTGTGTGTGAGAGAGAGAGGTGGGGGGAGGGAGAGAGAGAGAGAGAGAGAGAGAGAGAGACCCACACACAGAAAACTGGGTTTGCTAAGTAGGGGTCTGAGCTGGAAGGCTGTGGGGGTCCCCACTGAACAGCTCCAGAACCCCGAGGGTGGCAGCCTAGCAGGGTGCCCACACCCCTCCTCAGGCTTACCTCGTTGTTGACAAAGCAGTACAAGATGGCCACCATCAGCCCCTGGAAACGAGAGGTGCGTCAGCAGGGAGGAGGCGGGAGGAGGCGGGACGAGGGAGAGGCGCGGGGGGGGGGGGGGCGGGGGGGGGGCGGGGAGGCCGGCACCCTGCAGATGGCCCCGGTCCCCAGCTCCATGGGCCTCCAGCCACAGCCTTCCCTGCTCAGACTGGGAAGCCCGGAGCTGGGGGGCTCCTCTCCTCTCCTTTCTACAGGGATGAGAAGTCCTCTTGCCCAGATGCTCCAGGAGCCCTTCCGTCTCCCTTAGAGGACAATGGGCCCAGAAAGGAGGGACCTCTGACCGTGCGGATTGCCCCGGCCCAGCCCCATGTTCACTCAGGAGACACGTGCTCCAGAACTCCGATCTGTGTGTGTGAGTATGTGTGCTCATGTGTGCATCTGTGTGTGTGCACGTGTGTTTGCGTGTGACTGTGACTGTGTGTGAGTACATGTGTGTGTCTGCGTGTGTGTCTCTCTCTGTGTGCATGTACCTGTGAGTGTGTGTATGTGAGTATGTGAGTGCACATGCGCACGTGTGTGTCTCTGTGTGTATGAGAATATGCATGCACATATGTGCATGTGTCTGCATGTCTCTGTGTGCATGTGAGTATGTGTACACGTGTGTCTGCATGTGACTGTGACTGTGTGTGCGTGTGTGTCTCTCTGTGTGTGCATGCATGTGTGAGTGTGTGCATGTGAGTGTGTGTGCAAGTGCACACACAGGCCCGCATGCTGGTGGCCATCCCATGACCTTCCTGAGAGGCTGGGACCAGCTTCTTATGTTCCTACGCCCCCACTGACACTCGCACCCCCGAAGCAGCATCTGCTAATACTAGTGGAGAAGACCAATTCGTGGCTGGGTGCCCACGGCTACATCCGGAAAGGCTTCATGTCAATGTGCTTTCTAAAGACTGGCCTGGGCATTGGGGCACCTGGGGATTCCAGCTCAGGCTCAGCTCCAACCACATAACCTGGGCAAGGACCACTTTCCTCCAGGCCTCGCTGCCTATCTGCCTGCTGCCGGCTGGCTCTGCCCCACCCTCACTCTAGGACATCGCAGGGAAGGGCCCCCGCCATGCTCACCTGGAAGGAGGTGAAGGAGAGCTCTGTGAGCAGCTTGATGAAGCGCAGGGTCCCCCGGGCGTGCTCGTCCATCACGAAGGCAAAGATGACCTCGTGGGTGCCCAGCAGGGGGATGAGCGTCAATGTGGACTTGGCAAGTCTGGAGGGGGGTGGAGATGTCATTCTGGGCCTCCCCCATGAACTCTTCTCCCTTTCTGTGCCCCAAACCCCCACCAAGGCCTGGCATCTGGTCAGTCACCCTCCCACCCCAATACCTGGGACAGGCTGCCTGGAGGGAGGGAGGTAGCGGCCGAGCCCCCCAGAGCCCAGGAGCTGCCCAGATACAGGGAGGAGGGCAAGGCGTGGGTCCCAGGTGAGGCCCAGGTGGGAGAAGGTCACGCAGCCTTAAGCTGGGCACCCGGGATCGGTCTCTGCGGGAAGGAAGGCGGAGGGTGCCCGGCAGAGCCGGCGGTCACGCACCTGCACTTGATGTCCGTCTTGCACATGAGGTTGGCTTTCAGCTTGGACACCACGATGCAGATGACCCGGACAAAGATGAGGAAGTTCACCTGCAGGGCAGACGGGAGGGTGGCCGGAGGCCTTGTCACAACACACTTCCCCAGGCCTCCCCAGCACCCCCAGGGCCACCCCCACACCACCACTCACCCCAATGGCGAAGAGAATGGGCAGCCGGATAATGAGCCAGTAATTCATGTTTGAGTTCCTGGTCCAGCAGC